ACATGTGATTGCTTCAACTTGCACAGCGCCCTCAAGCGCGTACGCATCATGAACTTGTACGCTTGAGGATGATCCTTTGCAGGGTTTCAGTTTCCTTGCAGTTCTCCTGTTTCTTTAACAAACAAATTCAAAACATGTTCCTACTGTTTCGGCACAATTTAAATGTGACTACTTCATCATTCATTAATGCTGCCACATTCTCTATTTTGGACAATGTTAGGGAAGAAATACTGGTACATGTACATTGTAATAAACCTTTTGCGAGTTAAATTTGAATAAAATCTCGTACACTATGTTATCTGATTGCATAGAAATGCAACAATTTGAATACCCCAGACTAAAGACACTGTTGCTATACCTCTTGATTCAGAGCAAGTTTTTGCAAAGCAACCACCATCTCTGGAATGGACTGGTTCCTTTGTGCCATTCTTATCCGTTGAGAACAGTGTATTGTTGCAAGGCGTCTCTTATGTAACTAAGCAAAAGCTTGCCCCGAATCACGAGGTATAGCAACAGTGGTTTTAGTATGGAGAATTCATGCTGTTATGTTCACGTGAATTTAAATAACTCAGTGTACCAGATTTTATTCAAATTTAACTCGCAAATGGCTTATTCAACACAAAGTTGTGATTTCCCTTTTTTTCACAAAAAGTACAAGCTCTTATGTGTACATGTATTTTGGAATTCTTAATTCTGTGCATAAGTGACTGAAGTTACTTGTCACAGTCAAACAAGGCAATGTTGCTCTAGCTGGATGCCCAACATCAAAGCTATACCTATTTTGCACAGCATACATACACATAGGCCTACACCCTAATTGTACCCGGAATGAATACCAGCCTACCTGAAGTGCAGCAATCTACTGGTAATTACCCACTGGGACCTTGAACACTGTGTTTTCATACAGCCATCAAGCACAAATTAAAACATTGATTGCATGTAAAATATGACAAGGCCAACCACATATGCCTGGCACACCCATGGGTGAAAACGGATAACCTTGTAACACAGAGGGACAGAAAAAAAAGAGGAATGGGTAATCCTGGCACAAATGCGGCAAGGCAACAGATGCTTGAAGTGAACATCAATAAACAGGGTTTGAAATGACAGTGGGCAAACACTAGACAATGTGTCAAAATTGCCACTGATACTTTGTTCTTGATTTGGAATCGGTTTCGTATTGTTCAGGTTTCACTCTGCAATGTGGCCACTGAGTTTGTTAGTTGCGTTACTCTGCAGAAGACACATTATGTGCCAATGTTGCCATGAACAATACTACCGTTTTATAGGAATAGTCATGTTTTGGAAACCATCAAATTGAGTTCCCTCAACAACAAACCCATCCACTTTGAAAGACTAAAATGACCGAGGAAGTTCTCTTTGCCAACACATGAAAAGGCTTCCTCCCATTTGCATCCATCATCAAGGACAGCAATATCCTTACTGTTTCAGGGTTGTATCTGTTATTGGGTGTGACTGTTCACCACAGAAATTATTCTCGTACTTCTAGACTTCAGTGTTGTTGGTGCTGGCCATCTCCATGGTGGGGGAAAAACCACACTGTGGGTCTTAGTCTGTGTCAAGCTGTAACTTAAGACTGGGTGTAACCAGTTAAGCCAAAAAATAACTCACGATACTTCAAAGACCTACGTCATACATGTACATGCAGTTACTGCTCCATCCCAGCTAATGCAAACAAAATAACTTGGTTGACCTTTCACTTCAAAAATGCTGAACTCTGATCCCGGGCTTTATTCCTGTAAATCATAAACACATGTATCATAAAGATGGTACACAACAGGTACCATGGCAACGAAACAAATGAAGATCAATTGTAATCATCTCTAACGATGGCTTGATTTATGGCTGATGTAATGCACAATTTAAAGGTGCATACTGGGAGAGGTTATTTTCCTACAAGACTGCCTAGTGGAGGGTCTCACAGGTAATTTCAAGAAAAGTGCCGTCTGTATGTTGGTGACAAATGACACTCAGTGATAACACTTAGAGTTCAATTGATTATCCTACCATGGCCAGTTTCCTGGATTTGCCATTTCTGTTTCTCCAGACTATATTTTGCTGGCAATACTCCCTGGCAGTACATGTATGACGTCAAAGAGTTTTTGTACCACTTGGGACTTGACAGAGTGACACACTTTCCAAAGACATCTGGTGATCTAATTCTTAACAGTGCTGGTACATTTCCTCCAATCCAAATTGCACAACTGGGCAACAGGCCGTTCCAAGGAAATCTACAATTGTGAACTGAAGATTCTACACGCATGTATACCAGAACACTGCTGAGGTAACACGGTACATGGTACCTTTTAAAAATTGTGTCTAGTTCAAATAATCATAACACTGACCAGTATAAACATTTACGATAACAGGTCTATGATTAACCATCTACATGTAACTGTTCATCTAAAATAACGTTTCATTTCACAACATCCACAGGGTCAGTACACAGTTTTTGGCGTGTATACCACAAACTTGTTCTGCCAATTCCTCTGCCTCTTAAAAGTCACTCCTACAGATAACAAGCCCCTGTAGTGACAACTTTATGTTGTAATAATTTCCCCCACATCCAGCTGTTTGCCCTTGAGGGCCCCTTGTCTGAGCCTGAGGCCCTCACACCCCACCCAAGGGACCTTTAGCCTAAAATCATAAATAACAGTCAGCCTCTAAACAAGGAATTCCCAAGAATTCCTGCATATCTCTGGAAGATAGTAGACCTCACCAGACAAACAGAAATCTACGACCTGTCTATGAAGTATCCTATGCTTCAAGGAACACCTTGGGTGAGACCATGGACCAACAAACAAGTGGTTGAACCACAGAGAAAGGAATTGACACTTGCAGACTTTGCTACCACCAAAATCAAATTATGGCTATTTTTGTGCACACGGTTTCCTCATTAAATACAATACAGTAGGCTTTCCTTTCTGGTCTCCAGACCTTGGCATGATTATCAAGCTCCCCTATATATTCTGCTGAGTCTACAGAATTGTCTGTGGCTTGGGTGCTGTCCCTTACTTCAGGAAATTGTGAAAGTCAGTGCCATACCAGTCTGGGTGTACGGCAGCCTACCACATGGCTCCTATATTTATCAGCCACTCAGTGCATGTGAGGTCAGCAGGGTCGGGGAGTTTAGAATTTGTGGAACTAGTTTGTTCCAGTCAAAATAATTGTAGACATCAATGACATGGGTGGCATGGTCTACTAAATTTACTTGAACGGAAGTTTCAAAAGCAAGGACGTACAAATAACAAGCTAAATGGAGACACACGATTCTTTTAATTTGTGGCTCTTGTAATACAACATAGTCCACACAGCATTTCCATGAGCACCCTGTAACAGACTTTTAAACTTTTCTGCCGTGAATAATAAACCTAGCTAAGGATTGTATTTGAAAGAGACCGGAGGACTATATGATTATTTGTGAGAAAAATGAAACCGAAGATAAAAATGGCTGAACAACTAAATGCCTCGGTATTCCTAAAAATCTTCAATGAAGGTCGCAGACACTACACTGCACTACCAATGTCGTTTTCACATTTTCCTTTCCTCTTGTCCAGTATCCTAGCACAACAACAGAAAATGACAACAAAGAGAAAAATCCAGTTCCGGCCTTGAACAGATCTGCATAACAACAGGGCCCCAAGCACCAGTCTCACTCAGAGACCAACAGACAGGATGGCTGGGTACATGTACTACTATTCAACATTCTTCGCGGGGATCTATAGTCTGGCCCAATTGCCAAATTTTCCCATGGTCGACCTTGGCAGGAGAAAAAAAATTCTTAAAACCGCAGTCTTGCTATTATTGGAATTCATAACTCGTAGACATGAAGAAAGGAATGCATGGAATAAAATCTATGCTTTCAAGGGGGGATGTGTATAAAATCAAACATACATTTCACTGGTTTACCAACATTTGGTTTTTATTGTTGCTTTATTTTCTCTGATGTACAAATACAACAGTTGAGGGACGTTTTAAAAAGATGAAAAGAACCACAAGACCATATCTGACTGTAAAATTTTCTCATCATACTAGCCTAGTAACTATTAAACAGTGTAAACTGAATCTGCATCGATTCCAGACAGGCCCCATCCCCATCCTACAGACACACAGAATATTCAAACACAAATAGTGTACGTTATATATAAATTGATGTCAGAAAAGCATGACAGTAAAAGGTTAATGAGGTCATTATTGGTATCTGATTATTATTTCAATATGATGTTTTTTCTGTTTAATTCTTTTTGTTGTTTTGGGGGTTTTTGTTTAGTTTTGCCGGTAACTAGTGGCAGCCTGTGAGCCTTTGCTTGGACAGAAACAAAACAAGTCTCAAACATCATATAAAAATTTAATGTATTGTCTTAAGCAAAAATGAAAAACAGAACAGATGACCATACTGTTAAGTAACATTAACCACCAACACTTAAATGACCCATCATATTAAAAAGGCCTAGTTTTTTTAGGCCTAGTACTACAGTTTATGTAGCAACGGAATAAATTTAGTGACAAATATTTGTAACACTGCCTACTGGTAGTTCTATTTGAAATCCATTTTAAAGAATTTTATTGGGAACACAAACAAACAGTCCTAGCCTATCATAATCTTCAGCTTGCTCTTTTGGTGTCACTGACTCCATCATCCATCGAAATGTGTTATGACTGGTGTCTCTGTTTACAAAATCCATAAATCTAATCTCCCCTAACCCTCCTTGATTAAGGAATTACGTAACCCACTTGGGCACTACTATGAGGAATGTAAGAGAGCTTATCCCGTTGTGGGCAAACATGCGAGAACCATCATCGATTTTGTCCTTAGCTGACCCGCTATGTCTACATAAACACAGAGGACACGGGCGAGCAGACGAAACGAGTGCGGGCGGGCGACCATGTAAATGAGTGTTTGGTGGGACTACCGTTACATGAAAATATATACGAGAAGTGCCGAAATTCCCCTCCATAAATGCACAACTAAAACTTACCCCGTCGATGTCACACACTTGTTTCAGCGCTTCCTGCCACGCTGACAGTGACTTGGGTGACTCGTACAATCGAGGGCGGTTTCCTAGGTGAATACTGCGGGCAGTTCGTGGCGGTTTTTCGAAGCAGAAATGCGGCTTTTTTGGAGCAAAACACGACAGCTATGCGTGCGCTAACCCTGAACTACACGCACATGCACGTATACTGCAGTACCGAACACCGTCCGTGCATGGTGCGTGCTTTCCCAAACGAAACCACCTCCGTTCAATGCAACCAACAGACGGGTGACTAGAGATTGGGAACACGACGCATGCGTATGGCGCCAATAGCATGCAGCAGGTTGATTTTTCTTCGGCGTTAAAGGGACACTTTAGATTTCTTTTATTTGAAAAAAATCCTACACTTTTGTACAGGTTAAATCTAGAACGATTCCCATATAGTGTGTGATGGGGAAAAGTGCGCCCCCAAAATCAAAACAAGTAAAGTTTCTCAAGCTAAGTGATATAACTTAGAAAAAATAATACCCAACAAGACGGGGAGAAAATAAACTTAGAAACACAACCACCTTAACTTTTGTGGGTCCAAGGTTGGTTGTTAATTGTAGTCTGGTAACTGGGATAGTTTCTAGTAATGTATTACATGTACTTTTATGTATACATCTTATTATTATTTGCAAATTTGAATGTGTTCGGTCTTTGGACCATTCTATTCAAATACTTGATGCATAAATAAATCAGGATAAGCCTTCACCAATAATAAATGTACATGTATATTTCCCCAGCCCCATGGCCATGCTATAGCTTCAGTTTCAGGGGGGCCACAGCATCAGCTGGGGGGACCACATCATTAGAACAAAAATATAGTTTTCATGCTTATGCTTTTTACTGATGGGGGGCTCTTCCCGCCAGAGGGGCCCGGTCCCCTCAGCCCCCCCTCCCCCCGTGAAGGGCCCCTATTTCCCACTAAAACGAAGTTTGTAAAAGTGTCAGAAAAGTTACATTGCCTGTGCCCTAGAGGCTGTTCTTTGTTTTAATTCAATTATTAACAGGTCTTAATTACAATCAATACACATTGTTTACTCGAGCTTATCCTAGTGATACAAAGCCCTTGCCCTCCGACTTCGCTTTAACATGTAAGCTCTGTCATTTACATATTAGACTTAAAAAAATCACAATACCACACGCATAGATCAGTCAAAACAATAATTCCCTTGATACTTATGTATTTGCAAAATATTTGTCTACTGGTACAAACATTGCTGAAAAGGAAAATTTTAAAACATTTATGCTAATGAGGTTTCTTTCACAACAACCAACAAACGTATTAGGGTGTTGGGACTTTTAAATTTGTTTCCTATTGTTCAAGTGCTACTCACTTTTTGCTGAAGTTATATACATTTTTTCATCCAAATATTAATCACTGTACCCAAAGAAGAATTTTCAAAACTCCATGGAGTAGGAGGAGTGGGGGTTGAGGTCCCAAAGTCTTCACAGTGAAGTAACTGCTTGGGACATGACTAAGTTTCCCATTTCAATCTGAACTCTGTCGTTGAAGCCTTCTACTTTCCAAGACAATAACGACCCTGAACCACACAAGATAGCATACTCTGTCAAACTCTGACAATTTTAATCAGTCTCTGTAATCACAAGGAAAATACTCCACAAAAGTACACATTTTCATGATCTTTTTTATATGTTCTACAGCTTTTTTCTCCCAGGACCACTGACAAAAAATAATCTCAGATTGCAATAAATTATTTTATTTACAATATTTTGATTTCTCAAGCAATTCCTTGAAAGCTTAGTACAGTGATAGCCAGGGATTACCAATCCAAATATTTTAACATTAACAATTACCTAAAATTAAGATTTCATATACACAAACAGCAAAAATAGTACAATTTAAAATCAGCTGATTTTTTGTAGTGTTTATGTAAAAATTTCACATTAAGTGTTTGAGGGAAGTACTTTTGCAATTTTGGGGGAAAAGTACTATGTGCTTTTTAATAGAGTTGAATTATGTCTAACTCTGTGGTGCTTGAGCATAAAGTCAAAGTCAGTCATAAAGTTGTAAGTCACTCAGTAGCTCTCATTCTGCACAAGCATGCTTAGCAATTGGGACACTGCTTAGCTGAAACAGTGCACAGCTGAACACCAGCTTCTGGCAAGCTCCTTGTTGATTTTCAGTTTGTTCAGCAAGTTTCAAAATGTGCTAAGCATATTGTCAAACAAGCAACTCTCTCAAACTGGCCCAGGCTGTACAAACGTTTCATTTTTTCAAACTATTTGTGCAATTTTTAAAGGCATATTTGTTCATATTTGTTCACAACAGAAAAAGTCCGATAGAATGACAGTGAATAACAAACGACAGACAGTGCTCAGTGTGTTTCTCCCATTTGTAAAAACTCATTAAAGTTTAAAAGCTGCGGCTAAACAGGCACAAACGTGAATTTATCAGAAACATTTGACCAGTGAAAGGGCCTATTTAGGGGGCGGGAAAACCGAAAAGGGGTGGTGATTTGTATAGTTTCCCTCTCATTGACAAAATATGCAGCAGCACTAATTCAAATGGGTGTTTGACATCGCACAACAAACAGTTTTTTAAAAATAGTGAAGGGCAGTAGAGGTTTTGAAATGACAACCATTTCACACTGTGAAGAGAACAGTTTACAGAAACCTGGGTGGGGCAATATGGGTAGGGGGAGGAAGGCTAAAGGAGAGGCACGTGTTTGCTCCACCCTCCCTGGCCTCAACACCAAGGCTCTTTTTCACGAGTTGTCACGACTCCTTTGACTTGTGTGTGCTTCTGTCATTTGACAGATCTCTTCTGTAGTTCCTTGACAAGCACACTTAAACGTCGCCGTGTGTACTCAAGAAGTGGCGTCTTGCCGCCAAACTAACTAACCTACTAAACAGCTAAACATTTGTCCGTCTCCTATCTTCCACCATCTGATGATTCTTTATAATAAGAGAAAGGCTCATTCCAAACAGTTAAAAAGTGTTTGGGAAACTTGTTTTGGTCATTTGAAAATATGTGACCAGCTCTAGAAACATGGGTAATAAGTCGCCAGATTCAGGTTATGAGTTTTTGATATGGTTGGATTCTGTACTTCAGAAGCTACAATTTGATACATGAATGACCCCTGTAGTGCACTGCATTCTGGAGATATATAGACATTTGTAAATCTACATTTTTGGATTCAAGAAAAGCACATTTCGAGAAAAAGCTCAAAGTGTAGAGCTTGGAAACACAATGTGATGTAGGATTTCCAACTGAATGATCAATATTTCATCTTTATTCATCAGTATCCATGTTTGTAGTCACAAATTCTGAAAATATAAATATTATAGAAGCTATTAAAGGAAAAACACAAAATGCTTTGAAGAGATTTTGCCCTCTCCAAATAGAACAGGCCATTATGTGTTTTGGTATTGCGCGACTTATTACCCATTTTTGCAGAGTGAGTCACATGTCATGTTTGTTTCACCAGATAAAAATCACAATTTGCAAAAAAAAACTAGCCTTGTTTAATGTCATTCAACCTTTTATCAATGTTCGATATTTTGAAATTTACAACTGCTTCTTCAATTCTTTAAAAACAATTTATGGTCATAAACATTTAAGAGAAATCAATATTTTAATTGACAAAATTTCTAGATACAACTGCATGTAAGACAACCTATACAATGACTTTGAACATTGATTATTCATTATTTTATGCTCCACTACAGCCGGAAAATAACTGACTTAAGGTTTTAAAAGTTTCATCATGTTACAGTTATTTGTCAGGACAGTGTGTTTAAGTATGACACAAGCCTTGAGCTTTGAAAGACAAATTGTTCACACAATGACAAAGGTGTAAGAATAGTTAAGTACACCAGTAAAACATCTCAAATGGACGTGTATAACCAAACACTATTGTCATTTGAACAGGCACTTTTTGCTCACAATGCGAAGTGAAAAATGCAGAAAAAAATATTCTATATTAGGAATGTATACAGAATAGTAGGAATTCACGACAGTATCGCAGAAACTTTCATGAAACGATGAAATCATTAATTTTAATCCAATCAAAACCATATTCTTAAATCACTAATTCACAAAAATACATGTTCATTCTCTATTTGCAACCGTTCAGTGGAGTCTGAATGAAAGCTGCAAGTTACATTGTTTTGGCCGTTGGCTGCTTTATACAGTCCAGTGTAACAAAATAACTTTCAAACGTTCCCCCCAAAAAGGCACAGATTTCAATAAAAAAATCTGTTGATGGTGACTGTTTGGTTCGGCACTTTTAAACAAGTGATATCTTTGTAATACCAGAGGTGACTTACGTTCAAAATAAAACTTAAATATCAAACTGAGATGTCTTACGGTTCAAATGCAAATGACCCCATCTTTTCCTGTGGACAGTAACTGAATCTATTTTCACATATTTGAAGGGTAAAACGTTTCAGGGAAAATCCTTTTACTGTCAGGTTACCATCACCTCCTAGTACTGCACTTTTTCTTTAAAAAAGACAAACATTTTCTTTGGTTCAATTTTCTCCACTTGATGGCTTTTAACACTTGAATCACAACAGAAAGAAAATTCAAAGCCCATAATACATCAATTGAAAAATTTCCAGTTCACAAACACCCTCATTGTAAGTACCTTCATTCAGGGGAGATAAGCTTACTTCATATCCTAAAGCAATGATCCAATGCAAATTAACTCTCACCCAGAAAATGCAGAACAAAATCAGACGAAGTGCACTTGACCTTCTGTAATTAAAATTCTCTAAAATGTCCCAAGACTAGCTTTCGTGAGTTTCTGTCCCAGTAGTATAATCATTAGTACACACTTTCTTTGTACATAAACCTACAATATGGAATGAGCTGCCTGAGCTAACAACCACGACAACCAGAATTTCCATTATTTCTAAACACCACATAGCATCCCAACGCTTTAAGGGAAATAAACCAATGCTTACTTTGTTACAACCAAGTAATCTTGTACCCATAACACACGGTTTACAGTTCCTTGGAGTCACTCTTATAATCTTTCTTGGTAACGGAGACCAAGCCTAGCAGCCCAGAGCCACTTCAGAGCCTATAAAGATAAACTTATGCAACTTTAAATCAGTATAAACCTCAAACATGTTTTACCTTAAAAATGCCCAAACTCAATAGAATGCCAAAGAGGGTGATGTATCAAAATAAAGGCCTCAGTTTTCCTCTTTCTAATGCTAACTGATAATAACTAAAATGACCATAAGACTCATTCTTTGGGATCTGGTAACAGTTATTGTCATGGGGGAATAAGCCTGTTTGTCGACCTTACAAAACTGTTATTGGAGTTGTCTTGGTGGTTTGGTCCTCTTCCCTCTGATAGGCCAGCTTGTAGGTCCCTAGGGTCAGGGCACCCTCATCCACTGCATCGCTGGCGACATTTCCTTCGAAGGCTGGGTTCAGTCTCCCTTGACTGTTGAACCCCACCGGCTTCTTGGGTGCCAACGGTGTAAGCTTGGTTGGGTGTTTGCTTGGCTGCATCATAAACATTAATAGTAAGGGAGGGGGGATAGATAATTATGGAAGCATTCATTAGTCAAATAGGTACAAAGTGAAAAACAGAATGTTACTTCAGCTGAATAAGCAATGCTATAATGTAATCAAATGCCTCAAAGCCTGATAAAGTTTATGCGAGACCATCAATTTCTTGTTTTCCAATTTGAGTGGCAACACTGGAACAAGAATAACGTGGACTTCTTCATGTCTATCTTCAGCCCAAATAGATATCAAACGCAACTGTCACCACACAATTTACGTCAAAAATGGGGATTTCTCGAACTGCCAGAAATTAAGAACCCCCCCAAGTGAACATAAATTCATATGATCAGTCTTCTTTAAATGAGTGAAATGCATGGCTTGGAAATGTGATGAAATGAATTAATCTTAAGCGCAATATGCACTACAAAGGAGAAAGGAATTTACACAATTACAACTGCCACAAGTGCAATGTTATGACTTGCGTGACTAAAATGAACATGCTTTGAATCTGAGGATTCAGGATGCAGCACCTGTTGCTTGAGTTTAAAGCACGAAGTGGCCATCTTTGTCTATTTCCCTACTGAATGCAGTCCATCCCTACACACTGGTGAAACACATCCCTAGAACCAGACTATTAAACCAAAGAAGTTTTTTTGTCAAATCAACATAAACAAAGATGGCCCCTTCATAATCAGCAGCAACGTCAACAAAGTGCATAGGCTTCTAAATTGTCATAGCCTGTTGAGGAAAGTTAGTAAGGAATGCTAGCACTGAAGCCTTTTAATAGCTGCAAAATGAAATAGCAATAAATACAAATCATTCTCAACTGTGACTAAGCCGAGTATTTTATGAGTACAGAAGCTGAACGACAACTGTGGATACAGGGAAAAAAAATTATCTTCTTTTTGTAAGACAAAAACTGTGACGGATCTTTTAATAAAAAAAGAGGTCTAAAAAGGTATTGTTATGTGTGAAACCAGAGTGCTGTTACGAGTACACACTGGGAAAAATAGAACAGAAGAAATCAGCAGAAA